CTATATGGGTAAGTTTCAAACACTGTAAACTGTTATAGGAACAGAAAACTTCATCTTTCTCCTGTGGAGCACCTGGTGGGTTTGAACTGCTGACCTTACAATTAGTACCCCATTATGCCACCAGCTTGTCCTCTGAAAATAGTAAATCTAAATATTCCAAAAAAAGGCCTATATTTAATAAATCATCACACACAATTCTGGTGAAAACCTTACAAAGCTCTGTACAAAATCAGACACAATCAGGATAAAATGCAGAAATAAAATTAGCAACTTTAAGAAAAGCTACAGCAGACGCTTGCAGCACAATGTGAAATCTCATTGGCTCCTAGAAACATTAGTTATTTGATTGGATAGTCATTTTAATAAGCTAAATAAAAAGGTGCCAATCATTCTTCCTGACCTCTAATGCCACAACAAATGCCAAAATGGATCCACCCACATAAATACAAAATTCACTATCAGAGATGCCAATGAAGGGAATGACATTTTCCAACAAGATTGCAGCAAAAAAAAGTCTCTGCTTCTAAATACTTCTGCTCTATTTATGACGTTTGCTTCAGAAACCTTCTGTAAATTATATATTCACTAGTAGGTATATTATTATTCTGAAGATATATTATCAAGGACTTATATTGCTTAGTCTGCTCAATTTACAAGGCACTTTTATATCCATTAACCCTTTTTGAACCTCACAAAAACCCTGTGAGAAAGTTATAATTACCCTTATTTTAAATATGAATTCTGTGATTTGTATCTTCTCTTATGAGAATGGTGAAGACAGCATCCAGATATTCTGACTCTAATACCTGTGCTTTTTCCCCTTGTCTCACCATAGAAAGCAATACCTTCATTTTGCTTCTTCTCTACTTATACTCAGAAAGTTAGCCAGTCAACACAGTCTGCAGAAACACAGTAAAGAGTATAATTGTGGGCAATACATTGAGAAACATCCACTTTTGTCTTTAGCTTATCAGGGCTTTAGAATTCATGCAACTTAAAGGAAAGAAAAAGAGCATGGGTTAGTTGTGGGATTTTACACTCTGTCTGTACTATTGAGGACTTTTGTATATACGCCGATGGTATAGTACAGTAGTTTTCAACCTTCCAAATGCCACGACCCTTAATATAGTTCCTTATGTTTGGTGACCCGCAATCATAAAATTATTTTTGTTCCTACTTAGTAACTGTAATTTCGCTACTGTTATAAATTGGGTGACCCCTGTGAAAGGGTAGTTCGACCCCCCCCAAAGGGGTCGCGACCCACAGGTTGAGAACCACTGGTATAGTAAATTATGCATTGGGCTGTTAATTGCAAGGTCAAGTGTTCAAACCCACCAACTGCTTCGCAGAAGAAAAAAATGAGGCTCTCTTCTCCTGTAAAGATTTAGAGCCTTGGAAACCCTATGAGTTGGAATCAACCTCCAAGGCAATGGTTTGAGCTTATATACACTAGAAGGACCCTGCTGGTGAAGTGATTAGGTGCTCTGCTGCTAAACAAAAAATTTTGGTGATTGAATCACACCAGTCAGCCCATAAGAGGAAGAGGTGGCAATCTACTTCTCTAAATATTTACAGCCTTGGAAGCCCTGTGGTGTAGTTCTGTGTCCTATAAAGTCACTATGAGTCAGAATCAACTTGAAGACAATGGGTATATACAATGGCCCCCTGGCCCAGAATATCTTCTTGGATCTTTTGCCCACAACCCAAAGGATTGAGCTGCATAATTACTGTTACTACTTTTAGTCGAAGAAAAAAAGAATAAAACCATTATTTGCCTAAAGCATGCAAAACTTTTGCCCTTCCACAAATGTTTATTGCTTTTTCCCTTACAAACCTTAATCTTTTAATGCACCTTAACTGTTTTTTTCTTTTGTTTTGCTTTTGCATTACAAAGAATCTTTACTTTTAATTAATTCTCACTGCCATCCAGTCAATGCTGGCTCATAGCGACTGCCTGTGTACTTCTGAGACTGTAACTGTACACAGGAGTAGAAAGCCCAGTCTTTCTCTCTGAGCTGCTGATGGTTTCCAAATGCTGACCACATGTATTGCAGCCCAACAAATAACCACTACACCATTGAGACTCCTTGACCTTGAAGAAAATTTTATGAAAAGGAAATACTTAAGCCATTTGTTTCTTCAAAGAAAAAATTTTTACTAGATATCTAAGAATGAAAAGTTATGTTATGTGCCTATGCTAAAAAGTATAGGAAAGCTGTATACAATTAAATTCATAAGAAATATGAGGTAAAAAATGAAATCTTTGGATAAGCTCTAAATCTATACAAAGTACTTGGTTTTTGCTACTCTGAAAAAATAAAAGGAAGCTCTTCAACTATACTATACATATAAATATTTAATGTAATAAATACACAAATAGAAAATTCTAGCTTTTTTTTCCTTTCAGTGAACTCATATCCTTCTATTTTTGCAGTTCATCCTGAAACCTCTTCTATCCTTCCTATCCTTTAATGAACTCTTTAAGTGGAGACAAACTCCAAAGCCTGATATATAAAAATAGAGTGTGTGTGTGTGTGTGTGTGTGCAATTTTTATATATATATAAATTGTTTCTGGATACTAATTCAGAATGCCTTAATACCTTGTTGCCAAGAATAAAACTCTAGCTTTGCTAAAGCTTCTTGGTCCATGTGAGAGCATCTAAAATACCAATCTATGAAACACGTACTCTCTTCTTCCATACCCATTTATGTGGTAGTTTTCATGCATTTCTGGGCAGATGTCATAGATGCAACTCAGAAGGGTATCCAGGAGCCCATCCCTGTTCCATCAGAAGTAGGTCTGGAAGACAGTCATCTTCTCCTGGGTCTCCTTCTCCACTTCAATGCTGCAACTGCCATGGCATCCCAGAGCCGCAGCTTCTTTGGCCTTGAACTCTTTCTCCCTTTGCAGGCTGAGTTTCAGCCTGGGCTGCTTTAGCCTACTTCAGCTGCCAGTTCTGTTAGGTAGCCAGAATGGGGACCAGGTTGTCTACTGGGCATGCTCCAAATTCTGGCTCTGAGCCAGGAAGGGGCAGTACACCTAGGTGGGTGATACACCTGGGTGGGTTCCAAGTGAGATTAATTCAGCCAATGGGATCAATCAATACCATCAACCACGCCTCCCAATGGCCTGAAAAGCCAGGATCTGAAGCCCACTATGCTTCTTCTCCAGCTGCTCCTGTGCCCTCAGTTTTCCACGTGTGGGTGAGAAGTGCCCTGAGGGGGCCTGTGTAAAACCTGAAACCTCTTCTATCCTTTCTAAAACTCATTTGGATCACAAATCAGGCTTTGGAGTGAATTCTTTCTCATGGGAAGTCAAAGACCGAGGTATTTCCAAATATCTACAATTATTTGACTGGATACTGCACCAAACCATTTACTGTAATATGTAAACAAATAGAAAACCCTAACATTTCTTTTTCCTTTCATCTCATCTTTCTATTTTTTCCAGTTCATCCCACATATCTTTTACCTCTTCATGAACTTCCTAAGTAGAGGCAAACTTGTCCAAAGCCTAGTTTTTAAGTATTTAAGGATCAGAATTTCAAATGTCCTGTCTTTAAATTGCTGCCAGGAATTCATCTTAATCATAGGACAAACTGTTAAATTATCAAATGCAACCAAATGACCTACAGACATGCGAAAAAATATATATTCTGATCAAAAAGGACAGACAAAATGAGCTCCAAGGAGTAAATCAGAAGAGTTAAAAACACACAGCTGCCATTTCCAAGGACTTTCTCCCTAACCGTGGTTAGCCACATCTGCCTTAAGAAGGTTAGCACACTTAACATAGACACAGAATTTGGGTATTAATCTACTCAAAAAAAAGTTATAAGATTACAATACAAATTTCCTAGTGATGTTGCCTTATTTTTCCACAATAATTTCTCACTCAAAAGGAAAAAAATAATTCCCCCCTCCATTCCTCAATACAAAAGGTGTTTTTGCCTGCACACTTGTTATGAATGTTTACTATACTTTCTTTTACTCCAGTCAGCCTGTCAACCAGCAGAAACAAGAATTGTCCTCACAATGGGGGTGGGAAGGAGTTATCCATAGCTGAGTGGCCCGTGGCCACAGGAAAAAACCAAACTAGATGAGGTTTCTTTACACAGTGTCCACACCAACTCCCCCCAACCACAGTCCTGTATTTACTCCTTGAAACCAGGCTCCTTGTGCTAGAAAGTAAGTCTTGGTTCCACTCTCAAGTGGAAGTCAATGGCTTCTGAAATAATTTGAAAATTCTGAGGTCAGACTGACCTTGACCTAAAACACAGGTCAGTATCTAAAGAAAATATTACTGGAGCAAAGGTGTTTCCTTAGAAAATAACTATGGGTTTTTGCTGTTGTTATTGACTGCCACTTAACTGCAACAGCTATCACTAGGGCAAAATCATTATTCAAACTGCTGGCCTTAATTCCCAATTCTTTAGGAGGCGCTAATACAGTCCCTTAATCAGCTTGATATCTACTTTGCCACAAACACTGGTGTGGAACACCATTGATGTGGAACACCATTGATGTGGAACAAATATTGGTGTGGAACACCATTCCTTCATAACAGCCAAGTGTTTGCAGAACAAAAGGATCCCTAGCAGAGTTACAGGTCTCTGTCTTATTTCAAAGTCATGAAAGGAACAGGCCCAAAGTTATGGTTGTAGCCATCACTATCCACTTCTATTGACCCCCATCTCTATGGTCTGGAAACCCATTTACCTTAAAGACCTGGACTGTGTTGTCACTCGGAATCCCAACCTCCACCCCCCCACCTTTCCCCAGCAGTGTGGGATCACCAGCTCAAAGAAACAGCCTGTTGTAAGCCTTCCACTTACTTCTCATAGCGCTGATAAGGGTGTTGCCATCTTTAATCACATCTTTAATGAATTTATTGGTCCTCTCCAGCTCCTGCTCATAGCACTTGAGTCTCTCGCGGAAATCTGGGCTGTCCAGGTAGCAGTCGCGGAACTCCAGCGGGGGATGCCCCATGGTTCTAAATACAGAGATTGGGAAGAAAGGAAAAGATACAAACATGGAGAACATCAGTAATACAGTAGAAGGGTTAGACAGGGTGGACTAAGTGCAGGATTGGCTGTGGAAGCTCACAACTTCCTTCCCGTTGGAAGACAGATACCTGTTCCAATGAGGCTTGTGGGTAGGTATGGCTTGTTCAGTGCAGGGCACAAAGGGACTCAGCGGTAGCTCCAGGTGTTAAGGAGAGATAACTAAATCTGTAGGATCTCAGCAGGATGTAGCCTAGCAAGAAGCATGCCCCCTGGGCTTCACTTTCCCTGAAAGGCAGCACAAACCGCAGCCAGGCTTGCCTCCAGAGAAGGGCCTGATCCTTCTACAGCAACTGTAAACGAGATTCCTAGGCCCACCCAGGGTGTAGGCTGGGACAAGCTCTGAGTTGGAAATCGACTCCTCGCTTCTCGCTGCTCACTCCTCGCTCCACGCGTTGTTGAAGATTTCCTTTGCTTAACTCCGTCGGTAGCCTCCCCTCCTCCTCCTCGTTTTTTGTTGTTTGTTTTTTTTTGTGTGTAGCCCCTTCTTAAAGCCGGAGCCTCTGGCCCTTAAGAAACCACAGTCCCTCGCCCTAGCACAGTTTCCTTCTTCTATGGTGTTCCTTGCACCCAAGGGTTTCGTCACCAGAGTCCTCTGGCTATTAAGAGTTCCTGAACCAAGGAAGTCAAGCTGCTGTCCTCTTAGGCGCCAGCGGACTGAAACGTAGCCTTCCTCCGGCAACACCCACTGGGAAGAGGAGGGCAAATGCGCTGCGACGCACAATAGCAGCTGTAGCTGGGCGCTCCCTGACGGAACTGGGGGATCAGTCCGTGCGCTAGGTCTCCCGCTGGAAAACGTGGTTGCCTGGGAAATGTAGTCCTTCCATTTTCACGCCCTATGGCTCCTCCCTGCGGTCTCCCTGCCAACCCTCCAGGGAAGCCAATCTCATAGACCTTCAGTCCCAGCCTACTCCAAGCTCGCCAGCCCCACACAGAGTCAAAATGAAATTTCCCGTCATTGAGACCTTCACGGAAAGTTTTAGAAACTGGAGGAAGAATTCAAAGAAGAATCAATTTCCGGCAGCCCTCTGTCATTTCCCACTACTTGATTGCATTATTTATAGTTTTTCCTTCCACTTTTTCTAGCCTCCCTCTAAACCTCTTCCCTTTCCCATTTCTCCTGGTTCTAGCATTTGAATCCCTGTGGACTTTAGGCCTGAATGATTGTTTCAATAGTCTCCTTGTTAGGCTCAGACTCCCTGCCAAAGAAACCAAAAGCAACCAACCAACAAACAAAAAAAAACTCTCATTACCACTGAGTCGATGCCAACTCATAACAGCCCTATAAAACAGGGTCCTATAGGTCCCTATGAGATTCTGAGACTGTAACCTTTTTTTGTAGAAATATTTTTTTAATTATAACATTTTAAATAGCCTATTAATAAGACTTATTTGGCATCCAGTTAACATATAACGCTTGTGTTATGTTTTTCTTGAAAATATTCAAATGTACTTGCATAGTTTACTTTTACAAAATAGACTAAAAGATATTGTATGTAATAAGGTTTGTGAAGAATACCATTTTTTTCACAAACGTAGTATAGTAGTAAATACATATATTACTCCATAGTACAATCACATCAAACAGAAATGTACAATTGCTTCCACAATCAGTTTCCAAACATTCTTTTCCTTCCTGGATTCCTTGATATTGGCTCCCTTTTACCACCTCCATCCCTCCCAAAAAATAACGCTTGTTCTACTTGCTCTCCCAATACATTCATCAATCCTGGATTTCATATACCGAAAACAGAAAAAGATATAACACAAACGCAAGAGGGTAACTCCCAATGCAATAACAAATCTGAGATAAACCTTCATATGAAAAACAACAACAATAGGAATACAGAAAATGTTGAAAACCAGATCAGGTCCAGCATGCATCAGAGGGGGAGATCAACTGACAAGATTTTAACCATTCAAGTCAGGCTTATCACTTTGATTTTCTGTAGTCATCTCTCCAATGTCTCTGTTTAGTAACCACTTTCCTCTCAATCCTC